ATAAGCAGCACAGAGACAAGGAAGTGAAGTGCAGAGCAGCTAAGCAGACTTCCCAGGAACACATATGAGCCAGGAGGGAGATGGAGCCTAGCTGGGAACGCACTGGTCAGTGGCCTTTGCTATTGTTCTGTGGGATGGCACAGCCTCAGTCTAACCCAACCATGGCGAAAACAAAAAACCTAACTAAGCACAAATTAAACCAAAATCAAGCTTTGAAAAACTACAGTACTCATTGATTTCATATTGTTTTCCATTTTCTTCATCCATTTTCTATATCCATCTATATCCATGAGATGGATATAGAAGTGTCAGTACACTGAAAAAGAGGCTGATCCTGCAGCTATTTTTAGTTTCACGCACTCAGAAATAAAGACGCATATGAAAATGGAAAGGCTGCTAACGTTAATCAACCAAATACACAGTGGCAATGTGAATGCTTATAAAAACAGTAGCTTAAACAATTGTATTAATTTGTATGACTCTTACATCCAAAAATTATGTTATGAACCAAAAATAGAGTGCTGATCTAAAGAAGAAATAACAGCTTTCCACTAGAACAATTAGGTGTGAACAGACTGGAACACAAACCTGTCAGGATCAGCAAATACAGGAAAGCTTGGTCCAGCTTTGGCACAGTTGCATCCTACTGTCTGGAGCAATCCTGTATACTGCTCTGCATCCCGCTGACCATCTGTATCTATACTTGTCTAGCCACTTACCTACCATATGATAGGGCTTTCTTTGTTGTTTGTATGGTATTTAAATTCTGAAATTTAAATTAAAGGCAGATGGTTTCATCTTACCTTGGCTGAAATGGCTGTAATAAAAGTTTCATACCGTCTGTGCAGAGGACCTTAACGCTCCTTTTCCTGATCTTGTCCAACAGATGAATACTGAGGACCTAGAAATAGAAATGACAAAATAGTCCCTTTCTCTCTATTTACTTGCTTTCCAACCCAGGGAGAAATTCTTTGATTTCTTGGGTGGGTGTGGGCACATATCTAAAAAAGGGGCAGATCCAGGGAACCCATCATGAGTCCACCAAGCAGGAGAAATTTAGAGTGGAGCCTCCTGGCCTTACTCACCAATCTGTGACTTGGGTCCCAGCCTGGGAAAGCTGGGGCTCCCCTACTCTTTAGTCTTCCCCTCCCTGGTTAACGCTTCCACTCATCCAGATCATGGCTGTACCTAAGAGATCCTATAAGAGGAAGGAACAAGTTTTCAGGTATCTGGTGCCAGTCTCATGAAGGACCTTTTCCACTAGGACAGGGACCACTTCCTGTGAGGGAAGAACATCATTATGGAAATTTCATAACTGGAAAAGTTCAGAAATTATGGATGTCCCCTATCAACAAGGCAGGCTAGTAATTAGGATGGAGCACATCAATAGCTACACAGACAAAATTGCCTCAATAGGCAAGCCCTAAGGCTCAAGGGTGACAAGAATGTGCCCCCATACATAGCGCAGTAAAATAGTAAGGCAGTGCATGCCAGGTCTTCTTCCACATTCATCCTATCAAAGAAAATCTTCATCCAGGTCTGTCAAGACTTCACCAGAATTAGCACCCAGAGAAAAAAGACAGGAAAAGTGCTATGACCTGTACCTGGCCAAGAAATGCACCTGATCAAGAGCAGTCCTCCTGGAGTAATCTTTTTCCTGTCACCTTCTACTGCCCGTTGTCCTGTCAAGTGCTTGACCCGAGACATTTTCTGTGCTTCCACTTCAGTTATTCAGCAGATTCAGTCTGTTGAATGACTTCACAGACATACTTACTACTAATAGTAGGCCTGAGGCTGCAGAGCTGACACCTCCTATCATATATCCCCACCTGACAGTCTTGAGAGACAGCATTTGTATTTACAGCAGGTCCAGGAGCTGGAGCATGTAGACATGCAACTATCTTTTCCTGCTCTGTCAAAGGAGACACATATTAGTTATTTCAGCAAACATATAGAGTATTGCCAGGAAATGGGAGCCTAATTTCTGTGGGTTTTTTTTAAGAAAACCATGGATTTGTAAAAATAAAATCATCTTAATTCAAATTACTATCCATTATCTTCGCTTTCAAGATGTATTAGTTGTGAATCTGATTTAATTCAGTTACTGAAGCACACCGGAAATTTCACCTTGTTGAAAAACCTTAAATAAGCCAATAGTTTCTGTATCTCCTAAGTAGTCAACAGGATTTAAAACTAACTAAGTGGGGGCAAGTTTCTTTCTTCCATTCAGAATATTTAAAGGCTAATAGCACCTCTTCCATTTGGAACAATAATTACCAGACTGTCTTTGAGACAACATTGCATTCAGTGACACTTCCAGTTAACTGCCTAAGCTAAAATACACTTCTGCATCTTTTTCTCCTGGTGCCACTCATACATTAATGTGCCCAAAGAGAAATGCCCCAGAAAATGCATATGTGCTGAACTATCAAGTATACTTTCCCCAGCCCAGTGTCTCCCCACACGGCAAGGATGCTTCCCTCTTGCTTGTGGTCACATTTGCATGCTTACTAGATCACTTCACTGTAAATAGACCCCAAAGCACACAGTGTTTCCCTGGATGGTGGCTCAATTTAACGCTAGAAACTGCTGGAACAAGCCAGCATTTTGATCCACAGAGCAGAGCCGTAATTTACGTTTTGTTCTGTTTTTCCTTCTGATCATTAACCCTGTCAGAAGTCACTTGATTCATTGTTGTGGCAATGGAAACACTGAGAGAGCAACTCCATTAACAAGGAAGAAGCAACATGACTGACCAGTTGTTCCAGGAGTCTGTGGATGTCCCATGAGGGTTGCACTTCCAGAGGGAAAAGCAGACTTGCTGATGAGTAGCTTTAGGTCCACGGAAGTTTTTGGATAGATTCAGGATTATTTAACCAGGAATGAGAACAGAGCATAGAGGAACAGGTTTTGTGGGGACTTGCACCTAGAATACAAAGCTCAAAGATCTACTTCTAGAGCAACCTGATTTTTGAAACAACTAAAATAGCCCCATCAGGCAAGTCTCTGCCATCACCTGCACCCTCATACGTACAATCAGCTTGAAGGACACGTAGATGGGCAAGGTAGCCTCTAAGCAACTCTGGAGGTCTACTGGGATCCAGAATCTTTATATCTTCCCCACTCCTAATGCTGGTAATCAAGAGAACAGCACAGTGAAACTATCATCAAGAAGAAGCTGCCCAGTGCTCAAGAGCCAGGACAGAGCCCATGACGTGGCACCACGGTCAAACACTGGGGAACATTTCAAAAAGGGTCTAAGAAGAAGATTCTGTGGAAAATTTGCCCAGAATCATTCCTGGGAAACTATTTGAAGCAGTGAACAAGCTCAGAATCTTTTCCAGAAAATGTGTTTCTTTATTTAAATAAAAAATAGTGCCAATAGAAACAATAAATTTTAAATACATGAGACAATTATATACAACTTAGCGATAGGAATTATATACATCATTTACAGTTACAAATACATTTATACCAAGAAAAAGGAAAAAGAGGAAAGCAGTGGAAAATGTGACAACTCACGCATGTCAGTCTCGTTTGGAAAGTTTCAGGATTCAAGTGATTCCAGGCAAAGTGCCAAACTTCATTTGGCTTCTTTCAAAGTTGAAACAGCCCTTTTTGGAGTAAATCTACCGAAAAGCTTTATGCAGTCTGATCCAAAGTTCACTGAAATCAACGGCAAGACTCCCACTGCCTACGATAGGAACTGAATCAAGCCCTTTGTGAGCACAGTGGGACTTTTGTTCTGCCATGCAATGATACCTCTGCAGGGTGCACAACTACATTAACCCTTTAAGCCAAAAAAACAGAGTTCAACGTGTTTAACGTTCTTATTTTTCAAGCTGTCTCTCCAGCCTTAATGCCAGTGGATAAATCACAGAGCTATTTTAACACAGGGAATATGTGGAGACATTTGAGAGCGTTTTCCCATGCAATGCTTTAGGTTCAGGCTCCTTAGCCCTCATGCTTCAGAACTAATCCAAACATTGCAATAAGTTATTATAAAATATAATAACGTATGATTGAAATAATCATACCTAGCTAAAATATTAACATTAATTCTTTTAACAGTGCAATAATTTAGTAATTAAAATCACAAGCATTAAAAAAAAAAACACAGTACCATTGAAGTATTGAAGTAGAGAAGTTTGTGGTGGTTTTAACAGGTAGCTACTCTTGACTTTATAGAAGTGCATGTGTCACATGCAGGCTGATATAATATAAAATAGAAGTAATATAGCGTTTATCTACACTGGCTTAAATAGGGCAGAAAGACCACATTCTTTAGTGATATTAATGGGTAGAGTTTAACTGACTTCAAATGGAGCATTTGACTCCAGCAGAGAAGCACAAAATCTCATGCATATACCCTGAAGTCAGTAGCACTTAGTTGTTGGCTTCAACGGGGCCAGGATTTCAACCTTGCTAGGTTAAATCCCATTCTGAACTTCACCCATTTTTTCAAGAGAGTAACAGAGCAGCATTTGTTCAAGCCTTTCTAGTTCTTACACCTTGTAAAAAAATCCTTTTTTTTTTTTTTTATACACTTGTAGATCTTTGCCTTTAGTGAGCAAATATACACATCTTAAAAAAAATACAAAAGCAAAAAGCAAAACCACTTTTCTAATAGTGACTCTGTCAAAGGCTGGAGTGCATGCAAGAAGTTGGCATGCCTGACCCAGCCAGCACAGGTACAATCAGAGCAAGACATAGCGGCACAGATCTGAACTCCAGCTTTACAAACCTCCTGGAAACCTGGGTCTCCTCCTTTTTCTTTTTCTTTTTCTATTCTTTCTTTCTTCTCTTTCTTTTTCTTTATTCCTTTGTCCTTTTTCTTTCATTGTTTCTGTGGTACTTAAATTCAGGTTAGGTCAGTCTCCAGTCAGGGTGCAACCTCCCTTCAACCATAGCATAGACAAAACTTCAGCCTTTGAGGTCTCATTGAGCAAATCCGTTGTCTGTCTTTTATATATATATATATATGTGTGTGTATATACATAAGAAAAATGTTAGATGTGCTTCTTGTCTATCACAGTTTATCTATCGTTTACGTGAATGAGCAGTACCCACAGTCTTTAACAACGGGACACTTGTGCTAGGGTAACTTCTCTGAACGTTTCCCAGATATTTACCAGATTCTGAAATATGCAGAGGCACTACCACTAGGAGTTACCTCATCAGAAAACTATATATATACATTCTCCTTACTCTTAGCTCTTATGGAAAAAAACAGTAATGTAAAATATTAGCATCCCAATTATGTGCAAAATCACACTTTGGATTTGGGCGATACTTCTTCCTTTTCCTCCTAGCTCTCAGGAACATGTCAGGCTCGGGGCAGAGATAGCAGCTGAGAGTCCATTGGAGAGCAGGAAAGCAGGATCACAGATTCCTCGTGGGAGCTCCACTCACGCTTCTGCCGGCTGACTCGGTGGCCTCTGCCACTGCTAGGAGTTCTTGTGGATGTTTTCTGCAGAGCCCTCGCTGCTCTCGTTGAGCAGCGTTTCCGACACTTCCCCCATTTCGGCATCCAGCACTTCTTCCTGAATGGTGAAGTGCACATCTGGGGAAGAGGACTCGGAGCTCACGCTGCTGCCTTCCATCGAGCAGATGGCACAGGACAGAGGAGGCACCATGCTCTCCTGCAGCATGTTCAGCATCATGGGGATCTGCCCAGCTTTCAGCCCTGAGATGGTTGGGAGAGGCTTCACAGCTTCACCCCATTCTCTCTCCTCATCTTTGTAGAGCAGGAGCAAGTTGGACTTCTTTTCTTTTCTTTTGGATTTCATGTAGCCCAACATGATCCCTATCAGGAAGATCCCGTAGAAAGACATAACAATTAGGATGTAAAAATACTCATTGCCGTTGCTCTTCTCCACATTGCGGGATGCAGCATTGAGCATGGTTTGGGTCATGTTTGCATGATCCATCTTCAGCATTGAAACTGCTTTACAACAGTGATGCCTAGAGGAAAATTCATATGTGTATTTAAGATAACAAACTTTCTACCAAATATTTAAAAGAAACAACTCCAGAAAGTACCCACTTTTAAAAGCTCCAGACTAATTTGCAAGCTTGCAAGACTTCCGATAGAAGCTTGCACAGTCTATCATACTTCTGCATTGCTATTGTAACTGAACAAAATGTAATCATAGAGAACATTAAAGGACAAGGAAATGCTTAATATTAAACCATGCCAAATTCTATTCTAAGTATAAAACCCTCGGTCCTCATGAATAAAGAAGAATATCATATAGAAATAAACCACTAGATATTTAAACGGAGTTTTAAAGAATAGAGAAAAAAAAATAAAAAGCAACTTACGTCGGTTTGCAAATAATTCCTCCCTTTGCAAAGCTCTGGAGACCTTTCTTCTACGAAATGCCGGTTGTTCTGAAAATTTTCCTCTGCTGCAGCTGGAATAAATAGCTCTCAAGAAATGTATCATCACGTGTTTTAGAGGCACAGTTTATAATAGTTTTGTGTTGGAGTCAACAGATGAACTTGAAGGATTGCAGTTCAACCCACTGAACTCTTAACAGCTGTGAAAAGAAAGAGAGTTGGGAATTCAGATTTACTCTTTCCTAACCGGTTCAGCATTGGCTCTTTCAGCTTGTAAATCTGTTCTTTTCTCTGCTATCCCAGTTGCTAAATCTGAACTGCTACCCTGAGAGCTGCAGTGCAGAAAAGTCTGCAAATCATTTGCCATAAAATATAGAAAAATATACGTGAGAATTTTATAGTTGACACTGCTGTGTTACTTGCATGCCTGCTATACATCGTTTTCCCTGGAGAGATGGGGGAGGAAAATGCATTCGCTTTGCCTGGGAGTGGTGACAGAGCTTCCTGGCATCCACAAAACAACGCGGTGCCCCTAGACTTGTGCTGCAGCACTGCTTTGCACAAGGTGCAGGGCAGTGGAGATTCGGCTCCTGGATCTCCAGCGAGTTCTGCATGCAAGGGTGTTCGTGTCGTCTAACTTCAGGCATCAAAGGCAACTGTGGGATTTCGGTTCCCCAGGCTGCCAGGAGAAGATACCAGCTCCTCCAGAGGGGCGATGGAGAACAACTGCATTTAGGAGCCCCTTCTCCCACTATTTGTAGAAGAACCCAGTAGCTGCATGGTCTGCACCCCCTTTATGTGTAGATAGACCACTAAACTGAGATGAGATGATGGCCATCTCAGGGCAGTCATGTTCTCCCAATGGGCACCACTAAGCCAGGCTCCTCCAGGCCAGTTTGGAGGGCCGAGGCTCATCAGCGATGCCTGCAACATTCCCCATGGTCAGCACTGTGGTACCGGGGGCTCCAAGACCCCTTTGCAACACGTAAGCCACACTACAGGCCATGGGAAGCAGCAGCCCTGCTTGCACCTCGGGAATTTCACTTCCTCGTCCTCTCCATCCCCACTCCTCGCACACAAAGCCCAATTAGTCAGGCCCCATGTATGTGATGTGAACGTCACCCCTTCTGCAAAGCTTCAAGGATGTTTATGTAACAGGACACTTCCAGAAAATACTTGACTGGTGCTGGAGTTTTCTTACAGTAGGTCTGGGGTTTGAGGGTTTTTTTTTTTCCACAGTCACTTGTGGATTTTTTGCACAGATAGCAAATTCTTTCCCAAATTCTGCCCTCACAATTCCACTGAGGTTTTGGTAGATAAGATAAACCTCTGTTCACAAGTAAAGGCAAGAGGAAGAAAGATTGAGCAACTTAAATGGAGGTTCAAAAATGAAGAAAGGACAGAATTGCATCTGTTGGAACCAACATTTCCCATTGTTTCTCTGAACAACTCCACAAGAAAAAAAATATATATTTTAGACAGATTCCCTTCTCTGTCTCTTAAAACAGATGATGCACTCTAGGTTGTTAATTTAAAAACCCTAGGTTGTTAATTTTATCTTTTCCTTTCATATTCCCATACGATAGCTCAGGAGCTGTTGATGTTGGGAATTATATTGGGATTTCATCTAAAAAATCTCTCTGCAGCACCAGCTTGCCAAGCCTGGATTCTTCCTCCCCATTCCCTACAAATTACTGAGCAGGCAGCATGAGCATATTAAGGGGTAGGCTGAGCAAGCTTCTGCGCTGACTTTGGGGATATTTCTTTAACACCTTTCTCAGCTCCACAACAAAACACTTTGTTGAACATCACATTGGCCATTTGCTCCCCCATTCAGCTCCATAAATTTGGAATGTGAAGCGTTCCTCAGAAGGTGTCACACCTCTTCATGCAAGACATTCACCAAGTGAAGAGGAGACACTCAGGAGAGCTGAGTGAATGAAATTTGGCTGAGTACAAGGAGAAAGCCCTTCTCTGCGCTCAGAAGACCCCAAAAATAGATTTGAAAGTGCTTGATACTGAAGAAGACCTAAAGCCTACCCTGTCCCCCAGCTCATCACCCACCTTGATCAGAAGAAGCCTTAAACATCCGGAGGGACTGGTGCCTTGCAGCTCCCACCAGCGAGATGAGGTCCCTGTGAGGAGATCAGCTCTACCATAGCTGCCCTTCTGTTTGCTCCACAGCCTCCTATTCCTCATGTGGTGGAACTGTGTGAAGATACCAAGACAAACCTCAACACCCAACAAGTGCGCAGGGAGACTGATCAGGTCTAAACCATCCATACATTTAGTATCCCCTGGTCCTTCTAAATGATCCATACATTTAGTCAATCCCCTGAAATTTTACTGAAAAATGAATTAATTGGATAATCACATGTAAATACTGCTGAAAACGCTTTGCAATTGCATTTATTTTAGCTAGTTGATGACTACAACTTTTCCCCATCTCTTAGCCTTTAATGCTGAAAGACAGTTTAATTTTAAAGGTCCTGAAAGGGTTCCCTATTCTTTCTTGAAGAAATGCAGAGGAGAGACGGGAATACACTGGGGAATAACCATCTGAATAGCATATGCTGCTAGTGCATAGATGACACAAGTCAGCTTTCTCAGTTTGTGCCCTGTAGAAAACACATCTTTATCCTTTAAAAAGACTACAAAATTGCTGCCTTTTAATTTTCTATTTCAAAATGTTTTTTGTTTCTATATATATTTTACATTGCCTAATCGCTGTTATTTTTTAGAGTAAAATTTACCAGCTAAGTCTTGAGGTTTCCTTTTTCTCTTCTAAACCATTCTTTTTCCCAAAAGTAAAGAATTTTCCCTGAAACGTCACTTCCAAGTTTCTTACACTTCTAGATATTGCCTGCTGTCTGTTCCCCTTCACCTTCTTTACGTCACTCCCAATCTAGGCAATAAAAGTTAAGAATAATTCTCATGCTGTTGCTCCCGCCTTCCAGATCCCCCTTTGGAAGCCTTTCAGACTCATAAAGCAGAGGAAGAGCTAGGCATTGCAATGATTCAAAGATCACAATGTAGTTGATAATGCCAAATTATTTTTTTCCTCTAGATCCTTGTCTCCTAGAGACTTTCATGCAACAGCCTGCATCACCAAAGCATGCGAAAAGTGTAACTCAAGGCATCCAACGGATAGAAATTCTTCATGATATGGCTTGAGAAAAAGTACAATGTGAACTCTTTCTACAAATAAAAATCTGAGAGTGAGCAAAAAAAAAGGAACAAGAAAATCCATCATGAGGCCAACATGAGACGTCCTCAGAGACTCAGATGACACTCTTCAGGCTGACATGGAAAATAAACGTCTAATCCTCCTTTACTGGCATAATCTACAATCCCAATGCCTTATTCCTCTTTCTTTTTCCTTGTAGCAAGTTAGTAAGATTAAAGATACAAGACATAACCACTAAAGGACTAGCTCTTATAGGAAGCTATGCATTTTATAAGCGTGTGCTGATAGTATGACTCCTCAGAGTATTTCAATTGTGCTACTTCTTGGAAATAATCACCTGAAAATCAGTACAATAGGAAAAAAAAAGAGAGAGAGAGAGAGAGAGAAAGAGAGAGAGAGAGAGAGAGAGAGAGAGAGAGAGAGAGAGAGAGAACAGAGAGATATAGAGCATGGTGTTTTTTCCCTCGTGCATATGGAGGTTTAACAGAAGGGTTAATGGAAGTAATGGTTGGAAATTTGGGGGAGAAAAATAAGGCTGGGAGAGTTGTTTCATGATCTGAGAAATCTAGCACATGCCAGTAACTGAGAAGTATATGAAATAAAATTGACAGAGGTGCTCAAAATAGTCAGATTTTTGACTCAAATCTTCACCTGACTGCAGATAAGAAATTTGAGGAAATTTCTGGAAGAAGTTAAGACAGGCCTCCACAACTAAGAGAGGCAAGTATATAAATATATTGATAAATGCTCAGCTGCCGGTTACATAAACTGATACTCAGATGGAAAACATGCACTCCCTCATGCCAGAAAACATTTTCTTAGGCTGCATTTATTCTTGTTAGGACTTTTCTGCTTTTTTTTCCAAAAAAAGTAACTACCCACTACCCACCTTCTACTGTCACAATTCATTCATCCAAGAATTCTAATTCTTTCTGCTTTTCAGTTCTGCTGACTAGGATTAGCATCCTAAATTAGTAATCCTAGGATGGTTAGTTCATCTTGCTTTGTTAAAAAATACATAGAAGCCAAGAGCAGCAGGGCACCAGGACACACTCTCATGGAATGAAGAGGGTAAGGAGCACAGACCCCATAAGTTCAGACTCAGCAGTACAACACTCCAAGGGCAACCACATCTAGAAGAAGTTGAAAGGAAACAACCACAGACTCTGAAGTAAAGGAAGTTGTTGCTTGGTTTCACTAAACCTTGGCAGCTCAGCTTTAGTTTCTGTACATTGAAAAATGGTGAAGATGACAACATGCATATAAAAACAATTCTACTCGTTCAGGCACTCACAACAGCATAGAAGAAGGACTACAAGGCAGGTGTCACAGTGATCTCTCTCTCTCCCAAGGAACAAAACACAGAGAACTAAGTTCAGTCTCTTCTGTACATGGGAGCGTAGCCAACATGAAAGGACAGATCCTACTTTCTCAGTTCTGCATATCAAATCCAGCTGAAGTGAAAGCTGGTGCATGGTCTGAGAGGAACATGACACATTCTCTTAATTATTATTTTTTCCAATCCTGGAAATATTTTTTCACCAAGTAAATAGCAGTCCGTGCTGCTTCGGAACAGTGTCAGTGCAGCATCCCAGGTCACTGTGACCTTCACTGCATTCCATATTTTTCACTTTCACATGGATACCAGATGTTGGACTCTCTCTCTGATGTTCAAGGCCCTCCAACTTTGCATAACATCAGGCACTTGGTTTTATGCAAGTTTGCAATGCTGCCTTTCAGTTTTTGACTGACTCTGCTGACCTATATCTTCATGGGATTGCAAATGCAGTTCAGATTTCACCATTGCCCTTTCCTACTGCAATTCCCTTTCAAGATGAGGCAATTAAGATAGCACTTGGGT